CGGTGGCGGTGGCGTGGGCGAGGGCGGAGTGGGCGCTTGGGAGGGAGACGGGGTCGGGGCGGGAGGAGCCCGGCGGGCGTGCGGGTTCGGGCGACGAGCCACGACGCGCTGCTCCCCCTAATGGGCTTGCCCTGAGATATGAGCGGCGGCGGGTGGTAATGGTGGCCGAGGGCCTCCGGTGATACTCGCGGTAAGCTATATGAGTGATTAACGGCGGCTACCGGCTTAACGGCCCACCAGCACAACAAAGCCCCGCCCTCCACGACGTCGTGAACTTCTGTGGCAACGTCCGAGGCAGGGTGCGTTGCGCTATTGCGGACAGTATTAATGGACCCGCCCTGTGGTGGTGGTCATTGTACTTTGTGTAAATATTTATTTATTTATTTATTTATTTATTTATTTATTTGATTTATTTATTTATTTATTTATTTCATTTATTTAATATTTATTTATTTATTTATTTATTTATTTATTTTATTTATTTATTTATTTATTTATTTATTTATTTATTTATTTATTTATTTATTTATTTATTTATTTAGTCATTAGTTAATTATTGAATATTCTCATAATCATTTTCCTTCAACCAGCATTGTATCGGCCAATCCTTATATTTCCGGCTTGCTAAGAACATACGTACACTGGAACACGGAGAATTTGTTAAATCAGTTTACTATGAAATGTAAAAACAAAACAAAAAAGGGAGAATTTTAATTGCGGAATTTTAGAGGAATGAATAGAAAAAACTTGTATTTTTTTTTACATTTTCTGTGGCATTGAATACTGGGCAAAAGGCATAGAAGAGAATGACAAAAGCCGCGCGATAAGGCACTTTCGAGAGCGAGAGACGAAAATACATATTACACCCAAATAAAATAAAAAATAATATTTTTTAGAGTTCTGAGAATGATCTTTGTAAGATATACATATAAAACTTCGAGAATTTAAATAACTTTGTTTGCACACATATGTATTTTAGCACTGAAATTTTGACGAATATGTACTTCAGGTGTTTTGATTTTGAAAGCGCTGTTCACAAACCTTTCGTAGGGATGAAGCCAAACATATTTTTATTGGAATTCTAACATTTTTATTTTCATAGTTTTGCTTACTTGCAAGGGAACAAAATATCCTATTTTATTTTGAAGATGTCACCCATGACCTTTTTAATTAAATAAATCGTAGTCTTATTCCTTTTGTTTCACGCCTTAATCTATAATAAATTGTTCGGAAACAAATTCTTCAGAGAACGTGATTATTTTTGTGATTACGAATGCATTATTGTCATTTTGAATGAAAACCAAAACTGCATTGGTAATTACAGATAACTCTTCTTGGAAATACAATTGACGTCATTAACTTGTTGTTTACCAGCAACTAGAATTTAATTCTTCTGTTTAGTATTTCCACGAATATTCACATTTCCCTGAATAGTGTGAAGTAAATTGGTGTTCGGGATTTGTGTTAATGGAATATGTGGTGATGCAGCAAGAAACGCTCGCAATTACTGGGGTAATTTATTGCTGTATAACGCTTCTTCTCAAAGTGTGTTCCTCTCCTCGGCCACAAGCACGGATTATAATGGACTTACAAACAATAATCAGGAAAAGTTGAATACACATCTAAGGCAGACATCATGTTATTGGCGTATCACCGTCGAAGAATAACATTTTAACTATAATTTTTAAAATTCTATTGAAGCTAATTATTACAAACTAGATTAAGTGATGAAGGTGATATTGAATTTTAAAATGAATTCGAAAAAAACCTATTTTAATTATTTAAAAATTGCTTTGGTAATTTATCGAATACATGCATTTTTATAACAATGATTTTGAAATATTTTACATCACAGATTCGTATAGTTTTGTAATTTTGGAATTTAATAAAGCAGTATTTGAGTGACCAATATGTACTCAATGTGTTCAATAAGTGCAAAAATCGAAATATATCAGCATTATCTTTTTCATTGCGACCATATAATTTTTAATTTATCGCAATAACTTTTTTACTATCTTAGCACACTCCTTACTATGAGATGTTTGTTATATGAACTATATTTCTTCTTTTTTGAAGTAATACTAATAGCAATAATAATAATACAAAAATCCACGTGATTTTTTCTGAAAGCAACTTAAGCATATCAAGGTTAACATTAACGTCCCACATATCAGTATATATTATCTATATTATCTATGTACGAAAATACCCTACCAACTAAAAATTGTATTTGCCACTTCTATATTTGATTGAAATGTATTTCAGAACAATCGTACATCAAAAAAAAGCGTATTCCTTCATTAGTCTTTCTGATAGCAGCATCTTTTGTAGACCCTTATTTTGTGAATCAGGGGTTAGATGTTCTGCAGTAAAAAGACGTTATCCTCAAAGCAAGATCAGGGAGTCTTTTTCAGAATAACACCTTTACAAACTGTGTTTATCGAAACGGAAGTGCAGAAAACACGGCCTGCCGACGCGAGCAATTCCTTACCAAACACTCGTGAAAATAATAAGCTTCGGATATGAGAGGAACCACGCAGTGGAGGTGAAATTGGAAAACGGCGGGAGTGGGAAAGGGGGAGGTGGAAGAAGGGGTGGACCGTTGATGCGCTGAGCGGTCGTAGTCACTCGAAGAGACGAAAAAATGCAAGAAAAAAATACGGTTCGATTCTCGGACAATCTCATGTGAAATTTGTTCGCACAAATCGAGTTTCGCTGCTACACAGGAGCTATTCCAACCCCTGTGAAGTATCCTACAATTGCCCTAATTCCTTCCTAATTCTTGCCACTGGGCAGGAGTGAGTGTGTGACACAGGAGCGCGTGTAAAGAGACGCGTGCTACCTGGCGATCCTCTTCCTTAAGACTGTCTACTCTTACGGATATCCTAATGATAAATCCAATAATGTTGCCGCTAATGACCTAGTAGTTGATTTGAATGTTAAATAAACAACTCGAAAATTCTGTCATCGCCGGGACTCGAATGCAGCACTTCCTGGTCAGAAGTACTACAGTAACATCAGTGGATGCCCTGAGCCATCTCTCCCGATACGACGCATCGAATGAGTCATTTGTACGAAATAGAAGAGACGAAGAGGTCAATATAATCACATCTTCCCACGTTCAGCGCCCTAAGCTTCCATTGTGTCTGCTTTAAAATATAATAATATCTAGCGTACCCGTGCGATAACTCTCTAATGTTAAATGCCACCCTCTTTTCGTTCTTCCTTTTTCATATCAAGAAGAGATGTTGTTAACGAAACCTGTGTGTTTATTTAAAAATTAAAAAGGCAACTTCCAATGTACGTATAGAATTTAAATTAAAAAAAATACCACTGAAATTGGCGTTTGAAACAAATGTTGAATAAAGGTTTATTTAGTTTTATAGATTTATTTTTAAAACAATTTACAACAATTCTTTAAAAACAACATTTAAAGTAATTATTCAATCGTCCTTGACAGTAAGCTTTTCGTTTTTTTTGACACACGAATATTGACACAAGAATATTACAACATCTTTTTACTCTACAAAAAGCTACTTCATAATGTCCATTAGAAAACACAGGATCGGAGAAGCATAGCCCTTCTCTTCGGAATATTATTTAACTTTATTACCTAACTGAGAGGGACACCATTGCAATTTAATGTCTAAAAATATGAAGTAATTAGTTTCATGTCACATTCAGTTTCAGATTATGTAGGTTACTGATGCTACAGAATACTATAGGTTATATCACAAACTTTTCACAGAAACAATTCAACAAACAACAATGTCAATACTTACATTCGATAAATGATCGGTTGCACTATTCACATAAAAAATAATCTTCAAGCAACTATTAATATTTCGAAGTGTTGCTACGAGAACTTGCAGATTTATTGTTGAAGAAATATGTGCCTTCTCAGCGTGACGTCACAAAGATCGCCACCAGCGTCGAGTAAAGTAATGTGTATTGCGTAATATCGATAAGCGCCGGACTAGCAAAAATGTTAAAGCGTTTCCAAGAGTATCGTATCCTCCAGATTACAATATACGAAAGGTTGAGGCTTTTGGCCTTAAACATTCGTGTTTGAAGGCCTTAAACGCGTAGTTTAGGAGTTATTTAACAATATACATTCTGACATTGCTGTTGAGTTTTGCGGGTTGTATTTTAACTCAATATTATTTGCATTTTTAGACAAATCCTTCACATTTTTTTAAGTTAAAATTCAATTCGTCATAACTCCGGGAAACTTTTTTCTTTAGAAATCTCGTTTATAACCATTGGGCGCGTGTGTGAGTCGCAAAAAGTATGCTTACTGACATAATATAGGAGACGGTAATAAGAAGCCGACAAGACGTTAACGTGAGTGCCAGACGTGCGCACGGAGAGACCGACGGCCACGCAGGGTAACTGGTAACTTTCTCTAGGTTATTAGGTAGATACATCGGAGGTGATCTATAGCTATTGACATCGGAAAACAAGGAGCGATGTCGAAAATGCTAAAGACGCGAGATCGGAGTGGGCGGAAGCGCAGCGAGTGTAGGGCGCGTCGACGATGGCTAAAAAGGGGTAGGTCGCGGGTGCCCCGGGGGGGCCGGGCCAGAGGGGCAGGGGGGCGACGTCCCGGGCCGCGTCGCCGGCAGGTGGCGCCCGCGCGGCCCGCGGCGCCGGCGC